TTGAAGCTTGAATTGGAGGAATGAAAGGAATGAACGTGAGTATTTTTCTTGTCCAAGTGGCGCAGGTTCTTAGGCATAGCCTTCTTTTTATCCCTAGTTTCTACCAATATCTTGTCCAGGTGGTCACCGAAGAGCTTCTCCCATTGGAAGGGATAGGCCATCACGAATGATTTGGATTGCAGGTCTGCAGGCCATGCGCGTATCCAAATTCCTCTTCGTGCCAGTACTGCGGAAGACATGGCTCTGGAACAGAAGGTGAGTGCATCTAATGAGGCATCTGTGGCAAAGGCTGATGTCTTCAGTATCCTCATCACTCCTTCTAGTAGACGTCTATTGTCACCTGGAAGAAGTTGGATCAGTTTCCTTGCCCAGACGATTATGGCTCTGTTGGCAATAGAAGCTGTAGAGGACGCTTTGATGGCCATAGCAATGGCCTCATGTGATCTCTTAAGAGCAATGTCTATCTTTTTGTCCAGGTTGTCCCTCACTGAACCGTACCCATCTTCTGAAAGGAGACCAAAGGACCGGAGCGCTGCTATTGGAGCATCCACCAAAGGAACCTGCAACATCTCATTAGCGAAAGATGGTAAATCATACAATTTTTTAACAACCCCTGGGCTTGTCTGTTAGCAATAGGTTTGGCCCACTCAGCCTTCAGTTGTCTCTCAAAAAATTCCGGAAATGGAAATACTTTCTCTGAAAGAGTAAAGAGTGTATCTGGGAAAAAGCTCCTCAGTGCCCTTGGTCGTATTCCTAGGATTAATGCCAGGATAGACCATTTCATCCTGTGGAGCAGGGTCATACAAATCTAGGGCTGAGAGACACTTAGAAAGAACATACTGAAAGTCCTCTGCTTTAAACAAGCGTGAGGCTGGCTGTGGAACGCTAATATCTTCCACTTTCTCATCAGAAAGGAACTCCCCTTCCTCCCTATGAGACATGTCAGGTTCTGGTGACTGTTCCTTCTCAGGGTCTGAGTGCCTTTCTCTGGGCATCTGCTTTCTGGCCGCTTTTGTTGGCCAGTGACCCCTCATCTCCTTGTGTCTAGGGGATTCAATGGGAGGAAGTGCAGTGGCAGTCATACAGGAGGAGTGGTGACCCAAATCTCCCAAACGGCACAAATTAAGAAACTCCTCCCTCATGGATCGCCTCATAGAAGATTGGGAGTACCAGCCGAATGGCGCACGTTACCCAACTGATGCCTTCTAGGATCTTCTGGGCTCGCTGTACTCTGTGTTGGATAGATGCCGACGCCTCCTGCCTGGAGGTTGGCATCCCGGAGCTGAATTGGCAATGGCGCGGCTTGGGTGAATGCAGGAGCGCTTCCCACCAAAATTGCCGCCTCAACATGGCTGCCGTCACCGGCCCCTGCTCTGGGCCAACAGCCTTCTGCGCTGTCCTCCTGATGAGGGCGCTTACGCACCATCTTCTCCCCGCTCAATTCGGGGTCATGGCCAGTAGTCGCGGCAAGCCGATAGGTCATGCCGGCTCCGGGGAGATCTGATGCCAGCTCCATAATTACAGGGTCGCTCTCTGCTTCAGAGAGGAAACCGTCTCCTGATCTGCCAGGCATGATCTTCAGTCAAAGGAAAATAATTCAAACCAGGCCGCTTTAACTGGCTCTCTTTGAGTAAAAAGTAAGGAAATGAAATGACAGGAATAACAGAGGAAAATTAAAGAGTGAAAATTAACAGGAAAATAGTATTAAATTTAGTAAAGATCCTATAATAGTTAAGCTAGCAGTTGGAGGCAAAGCCTTCAACAACCTCTCCCTGTAGAGACAGGAAAAGAACTGAAGAGGGGCGTTCCCAATCCACACAGGAAGAGGAAGAAAGAAATTTGCTCCTGCCTCTCCCTGATAGGATGGTGGGAATCACCCAAGATGTCCTCCGCCTCAGAGGGAGAAAATTCTTGTTCAGCAGACTTTTGGTGACCACGTCAGGTTTTCAAGTAAGACAAACAGGTGGTTTGCCATCACCAGCCTCTGTGTAGCGACTGTAGATTTCCTTGGTGGTCTCCCATCTGAATACTAACCAGGGCTGAGCATGCTTAGTTTCTGAGATCTGACAAGCCAGGTCTACCAATATAGTGGAAAGGGTTGGGTGAAATTTGTCTTGGTTTTGTTTTCTCTTATAATGTTTGAATTATTCTTAAAATATAGTTTAAATATAATTTAAAAGAATTTATTCTGAGATTTCTACAAGGTTATGGAAGTAATCTAAAAACTTTATTTGTCATATGAAAACATTTTTATTCCTTTATTCATGAGGGGAAAACTGGAACATAAGAGTCTTACCCTCTCTGTACTGGAAATATTCGAGTCCATGTCTGTTCTGGAGGCTGACTGTCCTCTTCTAAGGCTTATACGAAAAATAAATAAATCCAAGTGTAAAAATATCAATGAATTATCTTTATCTTGTGTGAAAAGAGTAAAATGTCAAGGCATTTTTTTCATTACTGAAAGGCAACAATCATAGTCTTCCTTCCAGTGGCTGACTACCTAAAGCTCTATGACCTTAGGGCAAAACTAGACATTACCTGAAAATTGTAGGCCTTGTCATTCCACTTATGCATCTCCCATCTCCCAATAACTTGTTGAAACAGACATGTGACACCTCACCACATTCCTTTTTTTTACTTCTTCCTTATATGCAGTGGATAATGAAGTGACATAGGGCCAGGGAAATGCTGAATGGGATTACATTACAACTGATAATGTCAACAGATTTTATTTGCAAAGAAGAGGTGTGGATTGGTGGTGGCCATGTGTTTCAGACCAGAATGCATCTGCTTTTGATTTTAAGTCACATAGGCCAAGACCAGGAGTTCATTTCACCCCCATCTCCTAGGGTTGCAATCTGGCTGCAAGAATAGATTCTTTTGAACTATGGTGCTGGAGAAGACTCTTGAGAGTCCCTTGGACTGCAAGAAGATCAAATCAGTCAATCCTAAAAGTAATCAACCCTGACTGTTCCCTGGAAGGCCAGATAATGAAACTGAAGCCCAAATACTTTGGCCACCAAATGAGAAGGGAGCACTCACTGGAGAAGACCCTGATGCTGGGAAAGATTGAAGGTCAAAGAAGACGGGGACGGCAAAGGATGAGATGGTTAGATAGTGTCATAGATGCAACGAACATGAAATTGAGCAAACTTCAGAGGACGGTGGAAGACAGGAAGGCCTGGCGTGATCTGCTCCATGGGGTTGCGAAGAGTTGGACTCGACTGTGCGACTGAACAACAAAAATCTGGCTGCACTGATCCACATTAGGGTGCTCCATGTAGTATGCTTCACACATCAGATATTGTGAAAAGTGACCTCTCCAGACCAGTGGTCCCTCTAAGCTGAGTTAGTGTGAGCTAGCTCACAGTTTTTTAGCCTCCAGCTCACTGATTTTTGTCTTAGCTCAGGAAGGAAGGCTCCAGAGCAAATTAATTTATGCAGCAGCCAAATCACTCGCTCACAACTTTAATGCCAGTCGCTCACAAAGTGGAATTTTTGCTCACAAGACTCCACAGCTTAGAGGAAACATTGCAGACACACACAAAGCGAACCTGTCTGAATACTGCCTTAGCAAGGAAAGAGGAGTTCCTGTTTGTGTTGACCTTCCACGTCATGCTTAGCCTGCTCAAGATGAAACAGATGGAATGTTCAGCTAAACAAACTTTTGAATGAGGATTCCTACCTTACTGTGTACAAATCTGTCTGTGATGCACTCTTCAGTTTCAGTTTCACCAGAGCTTTATTGTAACTCTAAGCACAAAATAAGAAATAGCGTCTTTAAATCAGTTGTTTCAGGACTGGTCAGATTTTGAACAGAGAGAGAAGTTTCCATTCCAAGCACTGAGCAGAAAGGATTTGCATTTCATGATAAGTGCAATGCATGTAAAATGGACAGCTATAACCCCCTTATGGCGCATATAAAACCAAATGGTTTGAAACAACAACCCACTCTTAACTGTCCAAATGCCATGCGTAATCCTAGCTGCAGCTAGAGGAGTCCATGCCATTAAAGGAGATTACACACTCATCATCCACACAAGAAGAAGAAGAAGAGAACAAGAGATTGGATTTATACCCCACCCTTCACTAGGAGTCTCAGAGCGGCTTACAAACTCCTTTCCCTTCCCCTCCCCACAACAGACACCCTGTGAGGTGGGTGGGGCTGAGAGAACTCTGACACAAACTGCTCTTTTTCAAGGACAGCTGTGCCAGAGCTTGGGACTGACCCAAGGTCACATCAGCAGGTGCAAGTGGATTTTTTTTGTATGTGTGATGCTCTGTTCAAAGGGTCATTCTTAGTACCAAGTTTAAAAAACACCATATTTTAAAAATGAGTCCAAGAACAATATAAAGAGGGAATGAGTGCTTTCAAAAGTCACAAAATGTATACCACAATGCAGTGATGATCAGAACACAAAGACAAGAATTAAGTAGTACATTTGCTGTAAAAAAGAGTGCTGCTGTTCTGAACTTTTCATGCTGGCATGTGCAATTTTTCTTTGTCTCAGAGGAAAAAGGAATAACCCATAAATGGCTTCCTGTTAATAGGATACAAACTGAACAGCGGGATGGTACGACCTAATTTAGTGTATAAACTTATGGATGCCAAGTGAGTTGTATGTTCCATCAAGTACATGATACTCAGTGAATTTTCCTTTCAGCTTCTTAACAGTGAACAACTAATCTTGTAGGACAGAATCTTACATATGGAAAAGGACTGGGGGGGGCATCTAGATCTACCTCACTCAACATTCTGTACCTTACAGCATCCCCAATAGATGCACATCCAACCTTTTATTGAAAAACCCCCCAAAGAGATTTCATAGCCTTCCAAGACAGCATATTTTATTGCCAGCCCTCTCATATGGTATATTATTTTATTAAAAGCTCCTAGTTGAAGGCTTTTGAGACTGTGGAGTTCCAGGCAGTAGTATTATTGAAATCAACCTCTCTTTAATTTAAGACCATCTTTGTTGCCCTGTCCCTACAGGGAAGGAGGAATAATTGATGTGCCTCCTCTTTCTGACATGTTAATAATTTCAAGACCATCAACATCTCCCAATTTAATCTTCCTTTCCTTAGGCTAAACATATGCAGGCCCTGTAAGCATTCCTCACAGGATTTGTAAGTTTTTAAATGTGTAAGCATCATTCTTCAAATGCCATTTCTGAAGCTGTCCAACTCCTTCAAAATGTGGATTTACAACTACTCAACAGAATGGTTCAATTATTTCCCCAAGTTCTGGTTAAAATGCTCATGTTAACTGGCTTTTTTGTGTCCACAGCATTATATTTCATGTTCTCCACCATAAAATCTAAGACTGCAATGCTATCTACAGTGGTTTAGGATTAAGTCCTTCTGAACTGAGATTTACGTCTTAAAAAAATACACAGACTCGGCCTCTTGATCTTTCTTAGAAGTGGTGTTAGCCAAAGTACCCCCATGTTATGGTTGTGCATTAGTTATTAAGATATTTGAATAGCTGCTGCAATTTGCCTACCTCGCCAGTTATGAAGAAACCGATGGAGCTGCCTTATATAGACTCACTGGTCCATCTAGCCTCTGTGGTCTCAGGCAGAAATCTTTCCCATCCTCATAAAAGATTTTTGGAGATAGTGGGAAGTAAACCTGGGATTTTCCACATGCAAATGTGCTCTGCCACTCAACTATGGCTCCTCGCATGCTATTTAAGTTGATTTTAAAACTGAGTGTTTGAAATCCCTGGAAATTTTACATCACCTGTGGATTTCACATCTGCATCATCCACTCCTACATCCAGCTCACTGATGAACAGTACCAGACCCTAGTGCCAGCCAGGTGAACTGCTGCTGGAAACCCCTTTCCAATCAGATGTTAACTCACCTCTCTTTTTTCTCCAAACTTGGGCAGGGGGAATGCATTACACCTGTTTTTCAATGTAATGGCTGAAATGGTATAGAAAGGGAATCTGACTCACTGACCTGTTGCTCAGAGTGTTTTCCGACCAAAACATTGAAGTGCTTACCTGTCTAATAAGGTCACTGATCTCAAATTCTCTGCTAGGGATAACTGAAAAGTCAGCTTTCACTTCAGAGTATGTGTCATTAATGATCGCCAAGAACATGTTCTGTGCAAAAAAGAATGAGAATGAATTTACAGGCAGGATTTTAAGTGTTACCTAATCTGATCAATCCCACTCACAAATTGTAATATAACATCACAACATTAATCAGAGCTTAAGGACCATGTTCAACAAGTAATTAACATGAAAATAAATTGTGATCCACATTGGAACAGGATTACACCTGCCCACAAGACACCTCATTTATCATTGGCATAGATATGATTTCTACTAATTTCACAGTTGTATCTATCCCCTCATTAGGGCAGTGCCGTTACCCCAGCATACGTCCTATGAATCATCACAGGAATAAGAGTTTTCTAAATCCACATGTTATGTCAGTAGATTAGGGCTTCATTTCTGAGTTGTGCTGTGGGAAGTCACCTCATTAAAGAGATACATACTTCCTCACAATGTTCCTTTTGATTTTTGGACAGACTTTGCAAGCCATGGGGTGGGGTGCCACAAACCCAATCCACTTTGACCCTCTGCAGTTTTTACTTTGAAATAAAACAATGGGAGATCCAGTTACAGATATATATAATGCGTATTTGGGATCCTAGAATAATATCATATATATATATATGTATGTATGTATGTATATATGTGTATATGTGTATATATATATGTGTGTGTGTGTGTATATATACACACACACACACACACACATATACACATATACACATACCACAAATTAGGCTAATTACGTCAGGATGCCTGGCAATTAATGGATTGGCTCATCCTTCTAGGTCACTGTGAGAATTATAAAAAGAAACATCTGTATCTATATATCTAATAGTGAACTTGCCCCCGGAGTGCGGATCGCTAAATCAGCGCTCTGGGGGCAGCTGGGGGGCCGGGGGAGGTTTGTGCACACGTGGGCCAGTCCCCACGTGTG